AAGTTGAGGAATATCAACTTTTGAAGCATATTTCATCAAAAATGATCTAAAAGGAATCTCATTGTCAAAAACTGATCTGAAAGGACATGAGACAGCGTAACGAGACCAATTGCACAATACATATGTTACACCCTAAACAATTCTATCACTGAATTCTTCCAGGTTGGCATGAAAAATATCCTGACCAGCCACTGTTCAAGCCAAGTGAGTTGTTGAACAAACTGGTCGCTGAAGGTAAACTCGGCAAAAAATCGGGTAAAGGTTTCTTCGAATACTGAATCGTTCGCAACGAAGACAACCGCAAAAAACAAAAACAAACTTTCTAGTTCTATGATCATTTGAAATAATACGTTGATGATGTGTTCCATTTTATTTGTTATGAATGAATTTTTATGCTTTCCGTTGGAATTCTGTCGCTGTTTTGAGTATCAATTTGGAATGCCGACATTACGTTTATACAGAATTTCATTATTGCCTAATGTTTCGTTGCTCACTTGAATTCTTCATTTATCTGAATGTTCTGCCATCAATATTCTATTCTTTATCATTACTAGCTCAACAAAATCGCTCACTGTTGGGAATTCACATTTATTGTTTCATCGGAAAACCCGACATAGCAGTAAGAGGCAGAAATTTATGTTCTCTCAAGAAATTAGCCAAAGTTCAGTGACATTCTATTCGTATGTGTTTGAAGTTAATTTTGTTACGTCTGATAAACCCATATTATATTTGTGCTGTGTTTCAATTTCTGATTTGGTTTACAACAACGAATTGCAACTCAGCTGAATCATTACATAACCCAATACTTTCATTTTATTCATCCATAATATCAGAGTACCAATCGTTGTTCGAGTGGATCGAGCCTTCTCCTAGCCCAGAATTTTCCACAGGAGCTCGACATGAAGCACACAGCAATAGATCAACTTACGGAAGATCCGTGCAGATCATTCTTAGATGGATTTAAGAGAATATAATATTGCTAAGAGTGGCTAATTATAAGGATCAAGCTCGATGTTTAGAACTGCGTTCAACCTAACAAGTGAGGATTTTTGATTTGCGTAAAATTAGGACATCCAGTGAATGGTTTGATCAGGAATATTAATGTACTGATAAGTGAGATCAACGAGAAGAACGCATAACTGATCCAACACTTGAAGGAATAAGAGATAAGCAATGAGAAGGCTGGCTAGAGAATGAGGAAAGTGCGATATGAACGTAGATTGTAGCACGCTTGAGAAACAACGAATAATAATAAACTTAAAAGAAACTAGACGGAATACGTCTCATCGAATGTCAGTAAACATCCGTAGACATCCACATCGTTTAATTCCGTCGAGACATTTTCCTGTTAGCTTTTCATTACATCTTGAATTAGTTCAGACTAAATGATTTTGAATGTTACCGGTTTCAACACAAAATAATCGTATGTGAGAACATTTGGTGCAATACAACCATATACTTTAAATATTGAATTTGAACATCATATTGAATACTTTAAGTTGAATATTGAACTGATGAATCGATCAGCTAAATGAATAAATACCCCTAACGTCTCTTTTTGTTACTGTTTACGTTTCTATAAGATAAATTTTCATTTTGACGATCGTATAAATGTGTTTATAATATAACTCGAAGTAGTTGAACGATTACTCGCAATTCTATTGTAACCGTAACAAATTTCTTCGCTAGAATGCATACATGAAATATATCTGCAGAATTTCGGTTTATATAAAGATATGATATTGCATAACCATTGCATGTGTGCAGTTAATAATCAGTCTTCTTAAATTTTGTGATACCTTTCAATATGATATTTATATGAGCCTTTTTCAGTGCTCTAACGATGCAGCTGTCACTAACGGCAGTAGTTGGTCGACCAATTGCTTCAATTTCGTCTAGAGGAGTTGCCAACGTTTTTGGAGCCACCCTTCTTCCTGGAGTGTGCGTTTTTCAGCAATTAGCACCAGTATCAAGCATTTCGAGCATCCGTGATGTTGCCATCATCGGCACCGGCACAATGGGTTGCGGGATTGCACAGGTGAATAGACACTGTGTTTGTTACTCTCATTGGTGCATAACTCAAGAAATCCGAACTAGAAAGGATTCTATTGAGAACGGAAATCAGCATTACTATTTCGAATCCCAATGAATTGTTGATCTTATTAATTCCTAAATTTGCACTGAATTTAGACAAACTACTTCCAGAAGCACTTATCAAAGAGCTGGGAAATAGCTCCCAAAAAGATTCAGCATCTCAGAAAATTACAGCCACTGTAAAATTCTAATTGAGCAAACTGTAGTGGAATGTTTGATGATAGAAACTTAAGACGGTAGCTGAATCGCGCATGAACGTTATGCTGGTTGGGCGATCAGAAGCAAGTCTTCGACGAGCTGTTGCATCCATCAATAGATTCGTGAAAGTCATAGCAAAGAAGGAGTTGGGCCTTGATAAACTGGTAATCATCTTGTCAATTAATTTGATCACATCAACTTTGATGATCACGTCTACTTTGTGACAGATCACTTATTGCTGCATAAAAACGCATCTCAGCTCATGATTCGTTTTCTAGGCTCAAGATAAGTTGGTCGATGAAGTGAGTAAACGTATCACAACCACAACCAGTCTTCAGAAAGCAGTTGCTGAAGCTGACCTCGTAATTGAAGCGGTTATCGAGCGACTAGACGTAAAGCGTGAACTTTTCCAGCGAATTGAATCCGCCTCTAAAAGGTCTCTGGTTTATGCTTAAATAAGGCACTTATTGCAGATTAACTCATGCATATATCATCGGGTTCATTCAGTTTTTTATGGTTTTGTGGTCATATGGTTTCTTTGCAAGTCAGAAACCCGATCTTGACATCAAAACATCGCCGCATCCACTGTATCCGTCTGATCAGTAATTCGTTTTCAGCAGAACACTTTTGGCCACAAATACCTCATCGTTACGTCTCTCCGAAATCAGTGTGAATTTGCAGCGGAAGAGGAATTTTGGAGGATTGCATTTCTTTAATCCAGTTCGCATGATGAAACTGCTCGAGGTTCATCACTCAAATGATATTTCATGCATTCATCGTAATCTTCTCATTGCTTCCCTTCAAGTATCGAAAATAATCATTGCTAAGATTTTCATTTGTGTAACGTTTCGTTGGTGCCTTGTTCGGTGATAAACTTCAACGTCTGTATGCATGATTTCATTTATAGGTGGTGCGATGTGCAGAAACTTCACCTGAAACATTGAAGGCATTTTTGGCGTTTGGTAAAGCGCTCGGTAAAGAGGCAATCGAATGCACGGTTCATTAACTTGACTTTACTTTCAGTTGGTCATCTAACGATAAGTAGTGCATCGATATAATGGAACGGAATGTTCCAGGATAAACCCGGTTTCATCGTGAATCGTATTTTGGTTTCATCGATCTGCGAATCGCTCAAAATCTTGGAAGCTGGTGATGCATCCATGAAGCAAATCGATACGGCAATGCGATTAGGCGCATCACATCCGATGGGGCCATTTCAACTGATCAGTTTCATTGGAGTTGATACGTTCAAAACTATTCTGCAAAGTCAGTTTGATTTCTTCCTTATGAATTTTCATCTGGATGGTCATATCAGTGTTCAACAATTGTCGGAATCAATGAATACTAAAATTCATTTCTCACAAACTCTATAACAGAATCTGCGATATTTATTGCCCGGACGTTTGGTTCGAGTGTTTCCTCAGTGACTATTGAGATTCTACTTGCCTCAGTCGAAAGTCTTCAGATGAATTATCTGAGGCTGAAATGTTCTTCAATATTCTGCAGGTTTGCACGAGGCGTATCCGGATGATGCTCGTTTTGGATGCATTGAACTGCTGAATAAGATGATCGATGAAGGCAAATTTAGTGCTGGCTGAGAATTGGGACGAGTGATAGCAGATATCGTTTGTGAGATGAATTGAGATATATAAATGTCGTTTGTGAGATGTAATTTTTATTACCGGTTGACTTCATTCATTTTCCAACCAATAAACTATTAATCACATCCAAATTGAACGTCTTCTAAACGAATCACAACGTTCTTCTGAATTTTGAAACCGTTTGATAGTTGTTATCGAACTCGAATCGAGTCGATAATTTCATGCATCTCAATCTTCTCGCTGAAACGATCGCTGTTGGAGAGCAGCTATCAACTGACTTATGACTAAATATCAATTCATTTACATCTCTTTAACCATAAACTAAATGAATCTGATTATAGTAAGTGATTTGTGATGAGGTGCGGTAAATGATATAAATCAGTACTCCTATATGGGGTAAATTGCCCCATGTGGGTTAATTTAGGAGTATCACGGGTAATTGAGAGGGTCAACAAACTAATATTTTGTGCAGTTGTTATGTTATGAGGGAACGCCATTGTGATGGATGGTGTCGTTTCATTTGGAAATCTAAACGTGATTCACTCATGCCAACACTCCTCTTTGTCCTATTTTCTGAGTATGTTTGGCTTGTCTACGCCTGAACAAAAGTCAAAATGAAGTCACAAATATTTCGCAAGTTTATCAATATGTTGGCTCACATCGCCTCTCATGGGAATTGATTGAGTTCCTTGATGCGGTAGAGAAGATCATTGGTTTGGAGCGAGAAGAACGAGCGTTTCTGAGTTTGTCCATTATTATTATTCGATTGCACTGAAAAGTTTTGGTAACTTTTTAAACCAATTCATGTAATAGGATTCTTTTGAATGAAGTAACTACTCATCTATGTCATAGGTATCTCGTTTGTGACAAATCTGTATTACGCTGTGATAGATGGATATGTTTATGAGATTCTAGATTGAAAATTTATGTTTTCATATTTATGAATTAGACATTTACACATGCTAGTGTTCTCGACCGTCTTCCGAGATTTTATTTGTGAAAATGGTAAGTCCTCCTAGCGAGAGGGGACAGGGGGGGAGGGGGGTAATGATGGCCTGTTAGACCATCGAAGAGTATAATGGAACCATTGATATAAATGTGTGAGAACCACTGATATAAATGAATGCTATTTTATTGAGAGTAAGCAATAACGTATGGACGCATTTATGTGTAATTGCTTCTGGAGATAGCCGCTGGCTTTGAAGAGGCTCTTGAATTTGATGAGAATTCGTGTTATTTGATGATGTAAAGTGCTTGGATATGTAATCATCCATATTCACACATCGTTTCATTGAATGCTAGATAAGGCTTCATATTGCATAGTCGAGTTTATCTCTCTTCGATGTCACATGCCGTGCTCAACACCAGCCAATACTCACAAAGACATTGCTGCTAAGGTTTACATGTCAATCCTTTACGTTCACGGGTGATATCTGGATGTCTAGAAGTTTAATAAACTTACTTGATGCATTCCTCAGGGATCACCTGATCTGCTGCTGCTGCTTTGGGCTGTCAGCTTGACTGACTGCCATTCTGCCAAAGTTTACTTAATTACAAACTTATCCTCCAACCTTACTCAAAAATTCCTTTTGAATTAGTTGAGGAACATATGATGAGCTATATTCTCACATATCTGGCTCACCAACCGTATCGTCAATGACGTTCAGTGAGCAAAGTTGAAGCTTGAAAGTATAAGACTGCTCGAAATTTTATTCGATAACGTGAACGACTTTGATTAAGAATTTTTGCTTGAAATGTAGCGTTTCTCATTTGACTGAATGAGATAAAAGAGCACAAAGCTTATGGTGTTGCCGATGGAAAACTGCAATTGATCACGCACTGCGTTGATGGAAATGTGGTGCAATTATACGGGCTCTTCACTCTCGGTTTGTTTCCTCATTAAATTACTCATTAAAAACGTATCATCTTTTTGCCCTAACAGCTTTTCGTTAGGCTTCTCGAACATTATTTACGTATTTTGTTCACTTTCCAAATGAGTCTCAGTTTTCATTTGTACATAATCTCGTGAATATGATCTGTTATGAATGAATCGGTTTGATTAGTTCAGCTGAGTGCATGCTCATCAACCATTTCACTGATATTCGTTAAAGTGTGCTTTACTTTTCAGTATTTGAATTCACAACGACTTGTGTGAGTGGATCATTGTTGCTTTTTTCAAACAATGTCGCCTAGATATTCTATGAGGTGGCTTTAAATCATTGACTGTGGTAATTTCGTGATTCAGACCTATTTAAGATGCAAACTGCTCGAAATAACATCCAAAAATACTGTACAAATGTTGAGGGGTTGATCGAAATTGGTCTGATCGGAAATGAAGCAAGATTGTGTGAGCGTTTTCGATCGAGAGAATGTGATTGCTTGCGAAAGCATAACAAATCGCTCTTCCTTCCAATTATTACTTTCGTCCTAAATTGAGCAGGAAGTTGAATGGAAGAGTGAAAGATGCATACGGACTCTACTAATGAGCAGCCAGCAGATGAATGTGAATTAATGAATGCTTTATTCAGAACTGAAATGTAACAAGCTAATAACACATACATGCACGGGAGAGTGTATTTACGCTTCGAATCGCTCATTTTGAAACGACGACGCATTCAGTGGTTTACCTAACTGCAGCTCGTTTATTTCCTCGTCTTTTTATGTCCTCTTACAGTGTTTTGCTGAATCAGTAAATCAATCCTTTTTCTTGTGCTCTCCAAAATATCATGTTTCCAACGCAACGGCTGTCTGCGATCTTGAGCGATTGTGATCGCCCTGGAGATAAGATTTCATCAAACAACCGAACGTAACCAAGATGAACGGTTTCATATGCATTCCACATTCCAATTATTGCTTTCGTCCTTCACATTTAGCGTGCGTTGAATGTCTAGTCTCGGCTAATCTTAGTCGTTTAGAATGGGGAATTGAGGATAAAGAAAGAGAAATCCAAATGCGAATAATAATCATCTATTTTCGTCTTGAAGAAGTCATCAACAAACGAAAACGATGTACTACTCATCAAGGAGACTGACTATAGGCGTATGCTTACTTACTTGCTAACACATTATGTCTACACTTATTTTTTNTATTTGCTTTCTTGTTTACTGCAGCACTCAGTTGATTGTTCGTAATTGAACATGCTTGAAAGTGACAAATTCACTCTTGACTCATGCATGCAGCATAAGGTTTTGATTTATTGCACTTCAACAATGTGCTGTTATTGCAAAGCAGCTAGCGACTAGCGGCGCAAGCATGTTGATTCCTTGAAAATTCCTCTGTCAGTGTCTTCAGTTTACTGCGCCGCGAATTGAGGTGCTCAAGAATTTTTGCTTAACAATAAAGGAACGGCTTCACTCGGCTTAATTCTTCATTTTCACAAATTTCCTCCAATGATATTATTTTCTCTTCCGAGCCATCCTTCCTTATGAAATATTTAATAATGCTTCGAATTCTGTTCTGTTTCTTCATCTCATCTGCTCTTCATGTGCTCTTCAAATAAATTTTCTTCATATTGATAAATCAAATACGTTTTTCGCTGTCTTGCAATTGACTTTCTCTCTGCGCTAGCGAATCATTTGACCGAGTCACAATGCCTCACTTAAGACCACAATCGAACTAATCTTTTGCGCAAATTTGTGTTCGTTTGAGAGATTCGTGATGAGCTCAACAATCGCCGAACCAAGCCAGCAGCAGCTTTAGTGAATTCATCTCGACAATCCATCACAAAGATCTACGNTAACGAACCACCACTAGTTAAGTTTGCTTATGAACAAACTGATGGTCTCATTAAATAGATGTGACTGTCTCAGCTATTCATTCATCCATTCATGATTATTTTCACATCCGTGATCATTTATCTTCTTTCTCAATGGCTCACTAACTATCCACCAACAAACACTCTGCTATGTCCATCCAAAGCACAAATGATTCATTACTGAGGCTATGACATGGAAAAAAATCTCCTATAACGTTCAAGAGGTCTTTGTCCACCTATAGCGCCTTTCTTGGTAATTAGAAACAGAGAATTTCATTATAAATAGCGGATTATCTTAGTGGTGTTGTTTGATGCTGAATGTTTTTTTGGTAAGTGTATGTTCGGAGTATGCTTAAGTTTCCGACGAGTTGCATATTCGGAACTTCAAAAGTGATTCTCGATAGTGATGATGGCAGTTGACGTGAAAGAAATTTGAGCTTATTGAAGTCGGAAGGCGTTAATTGGAAATTGATCGTATGCCGCATATGCGCTGATGATATCATAGAATTTCAAAAAAAGTTAGTTGCAATAGTCGATTAAAAATTGCTCTTCAGTGTTCCATTACGCTTGTATGAGCTTATGCTTATGCTGTCGCTTTAATTCACTTAATTAAACTGCACTCCGTATTTTCCTTATTAATTTGAGAAGTTGGATAAAAATTAGAGTCGATAGGAAATTTTTTAAACGAGTGAGTGCAATGCGATATGTTAGGAACTTTTTTATAATGTCTGTTAAGGGAAAGGTTGTTGCTTGAAAAATTGCTTCGTAACTAAAATAAAAATTTTTACTATTCATGAATTAGTTCTTCAAATTGCACTCCGAATTCATGATCAAAGCGATGTGACTGAATGTCAGTGAGAATCATTAATTGCGGATCAGTTAATGAGAGGTAAATGAGTTGTTTTATGTGAAATCGTCTGATCATAACGATCTAGAGTATGTGAATTCCAATCCACTCAAATTGTTCCATTCCTGTTCTGTTCCTAACAGTAGAACAGTTCAGTCGCAAAAAAGCGCTTTCAGAGCAACGCAGAACAGAATAGAACAATTCAAAAACACAGAACAGAACAAAACAACCTCCAAAAGATAGAAGTTGAGAACAGAATACAGTGTGGAACAGAGCAACGGGCGTCAGAACACAATGGACCAGCAGTTTGCCGAAAGCATGGAATCCGAGCAGCACTAATCTTAATAGCTCGGTTGAATGTCACAATGGAACGTTTGACGTCGAGCAATAAATTGCTAAACATATTTCATGTCGGCTAACGCAAGCACCATTTCGAAAACGCAATCAGTCCGCATGCTAAACGGCGCATTGAATAAAACCAATGAAAGCGTGATTCAGTGATAAACTGATACTGATGACTAAGGATGATTGGTTGAACTATGCGGATGACTAGAATAATGAATTTCGATGACAGCTGTTCACTAATGAAGAAAACTTAAGAAAGAAACTATCGCATTATCACTTAACACGATGAATGTCATGAAAAATTTCACTACGTATGGTTTCATGCATTCACAAAACAATGCGACAAAGCGATTTCTAAGAACGCAGCCAAACATCTCGGCTGCCACTCATGCTCCAGATGGGGATTTGGAAGCATTAAATAGTGCACTCCCTGAAGGGCAACAAGAATGCGGATTAGCTCACAAAAGCAATGTGGGCAGAAAAGAAGATCTGTTCGCCCAAGTGGCTGCCATGTTTGATCCACATCAACACTGACTGCCACACACCAATAATGATGCTATGATTTCGTAAATATTAAACATTAATCAACCATGAATTTTGCTCACATATCTGACACCGGCAATTAATCAAATCGTAAGAGAATAACATGCGAGAGGCTTAATCTAAACTGATGTCTAATCCTCGGGTAGTTTTATCCCCCGTTCACAAGATATTCTTCAAGAAATGCATTCACTTTGCTGCAAATGCCATTAAACTCACTGCGAATCGAACCTCTGAGTCCAATCTCGGCTCAAAATTCGAATCTTTTTGCTGTTTTATTCCTTTTCAGCTCATCCGAGCCCGCAAAACAAATAAACAATGTATCCAGGATAGCTGAATGATCAATTGAAAATATCTCATCTTTCCTATTGCTACAACCGAAAGATCACCTTGTAAAAAAGTAAAGTCAAAAAATCGTCGTAATCCATTGGGGATGAAAGTTATTCATACGGAAGTTGTATGCATAATGGATGAAATTCTC